GGGGAGGGGGAGATTATGGATCGAAGCGCAGGGCCATCGGCGGCGACTGAAAGTCGGTTTGCAGGTGCCTTCCACTTGACGAAATCGCGCGCATCGGCGGAAATCGTGTTTGTCTCAAAAGAATCGACCCAAATTGCTCCCCGCTCGCCACGTGGGCGTTTTTCTCAATTGATTCGACCCCCTTTCCCCCGGCCCCCCCACCCCGTTTTTCCCGCCCTTGCCCTCCGAAATTCGGGCACCCGCTGGAATTTCGTGAAATCACAAAAAGTCACGAATACATGCTTTTTACATCATGCCAAATCCACCATGTAGTTGTGGTATGCCACATCAGCTTTCGCAATCGATAAGGGCGCGTGTCTTTTGGTGTAGAGGTTCAAAATTAAGGTCGACCTTTTGGTGGTAACCGGCTTCGTTAATTTCGTTGAAAGCTGTTTGCGATAATCGTGTTTCCAAGTTTAAAGATTGATGAAACAGAGGGACAATGAACTGGGGTCGAATTTTCACGTGCCCGTTTAGCCAAACGTGTGTTCTTCTTTTCATGCACAGTGAATCTGCGACATTCGCGATAGTAACGAACGACATCGTACCTCGTTACTTCACCTTTCGGTTTAGTTTACGAGCTACGTTTTCAAATCGGGTAACCTACGAAACTGGGGCGCGACTCGGGTTTTACTGTATAAAGTCGAACTTCTGAAGTCGAACTTTGATGTGCCATGTGATTTTCCGCAGCCCGTTTGCGTGCAGATCCAGTCTTCCTTGCTGCTGCCAATAAAAATAAGAGAATGGCGGATCGAGGAGGATGGGGAGGAATAGCAACAATGCTTTCGGCAATGCAGCTGTGGAGATCGAAGAGCAGGTTAGTGGATGAGGTAAGAAAGCGAGAAGGAATGCGCATAGAGATCTGATTGTTACGTTTATTGCTTAGCCTGTACACTTTGCCAAGGTTGAGATTCCATTTGCCTACATTATTCTGTCACTAAGTGATAAAAGCAACATGATACTTATCATAATGCTTGCCACCACAGAGCGAACAGAATAAAGAAGGTTAATAGATGAGGAGCTTCTTTGCCCGGTCAGCAAGATCAGCGACGGTGTGAATCCAGCGACACTTCTGACTTTCCCGGGTGAGCATAACCAGTCCTTTCACCACATCCGTATCGCGACTCGGGACCCAAAACTTGAGATACTCGAGTACAGGTCGACCTAGGTTCAAACGTAAAAAATCGACTAGAAAACATGAACTTTGCAATAAAATCCAAAAGACACGCGCCCTAATTTTGGCGGTTGCTTCTCAATCTCAGGAGGCTCATATGCACGTTGATTGTATCGTATTTTTTTGGATTAGCCCATGCCAGTAATGTAGATAAGGGCGCAAAAAAAAAAAACACATGAAAAATCAACCTACAGTTTCTTTATGTTTTCTATATATCTACATGAAGCGTATTCCAGAAAAACTTAAAAAACTAAGAGTTAAATTTCATAAATTTTTTATTATAATAGCTCCACGGCAAATAAAAATAAATGTATTTTGAAATAGGTAGATATTTTTGTTTTATTGTACTTCTTGATATTATTTAGAATAAAAATATGTACTCGTATTACAAAGATTAAAAAAATATGTTACTGCAGTGGCACATAATTAATATAATCCATATTACTGCTAAATTTATCATTAGAAGTCATAGGTGTTCTGTCCAATCAGATGTCGCTCGCATGTTGAAATCTTAGCGTTACGAAAAAACATGTATTCGTGACGTTTTGTGATTTCACGAGATTCTAGCGGGTGCCCGAATTTCGGAGGGCAAGGGCGGGAAAAACGGGGTGGGGGGGCGGGGGGAAAGGGGGTCGAATCAATTGAGAAAAACGCCCACGTGGCGAGCGGGGAGCAATTTGGGTCGATTCTTTTGAGACAAACACGATTTCCGCCGATGCGCGCGATTTCGCCCTTCCACTTGGTTTCTGCGGCCGACTCGGACCGACCGGATCCCCGCGGATCATCATGGCGATAGTACGTCCCCCCCATGGCGATAGTACGTCCCCCCCATGGCGATACGTGTAGTACGTCCCCCCCAACTGCCCGGGAAGAGCTCCGCCATGCTCCGTCCCCCAGCGAATCATCATCGATACGTATCAGGCGACGATCAGGCGACGATCAGTTCTCGCGCCTCTCAGGCGACCATCTGCTCTTTCACCGCAGTGCGCGCGCCGATACGAGGCCGGAGCTCGAGCTCCCACGCCACGCTCCGCCACGCCACGCTCCGCCACGTAGTAGTACAGTATCGCGCCGCCTGGCACATGCGATCACTGCGCGCGCCTATCGTGATGCGCCGATCGGCGATCATGATCCCGCGCCGCAGTTACGATGTCAGCTTAAATAGTACCCTGTCGCGAGGACGAATCACTCGTTACTCCTTCCATTACTCGTTTTGCCAAGAAAAATTCTCCGCTCGCCCGCTCTATCAAGGGAAATTCTCCGGTCACCCGCTCTATCAAGGAGAATTCTTCATCCACCCTCTCTGTAAAGGGATATTCTCCGTAGGCTAGTAGCGCCTCGCCAGCTTTCCAAGCAGCGCGCTGTGTCACCTGTTTACGCCAATTCCGCCGCCGCCTCTCCATCGGTAGCGCGACCCGCACGCTCGTCGTCATGTCGCGCCGGGGCTTTCCGCCAGTTGCGCCGCCAGCGGCGGTTCTCGTTGTTCTTCTCCTCGTCGCAGCGGCAGCTGGCGGCGCGCGCGGATTGCGCGGGAACGCGGTGCAACCCCGCAAGCTGGCCGTTGGCGGAAGCGGCGGAGACTCTCCGCGGAGGAGAGCGGCGGAGCTAGTGAAAGAATCCGCCCATGCTTCCGCAATGACGGAGGCGCATGTTCCGCCGCTGCAGCTGATTCTGGCGGAAGAAGGCCGCGCGGAGGGCGCAGTGTGCTTGGACGGGTCGGCCCCAGGGTTCTACTATCGGAAGGGCTACGGCTCGGGACAGAACAACTGGGTGCTGTTCTTCGAGGTGTGACTAAAACGAACGACTTCTCCGTCTTCCCCCCCAAAACGATTTTTGAAGGAGTCCTTTCAGTTGTAACCGCACTCCGACCCTCCCTCCTACTCTCTTCTCTTTGATTGCCCTCCATCCCCTCAGCTGTTCATTCATTCTTCCCCTCACTTTGTTTACCTTCCATCCCCCTCCTATCCCTTTTCCCTCCCCCTTCCTCCTCCCCCTTCCCCCTCCCCCTTTCCGCGCCCGCCATTGCAGGGCGGCGCGTGGTGCGCGTCCCCGCACGCCTGCGAGTACAGGGCGCGCATGCACCTGGAGTCCGCAAAGCATGCGCGCTCACACCCCCTTCCCCCTCCCCCCTCCCCTTTCTCCCCCAAATGCCAGGGCGGCGCGTGGTGCGCGTCCCCCATGCCTGCGCGTACAGGGCGCGCATGCACCTGGGGTCGACGAAGCACGCGCGCTCAATAGGGGAGATGCTGGATAAGCAGAACGGCAGCATGCAGGGCATGCTCAGTGGCAGCAAGACCGTCAACCCTGGTGAGAACAAGCCGCTGCTGCACTACACCGCACCGCACCGCACCGCACCGCACACTTGATGCGCAGAACGGCAGCATGCAGGGCATGCTCAGTGGCAGCAAGACCGTCAACCCTGGTAAGAATTGTTGGTACTTCCTACACCGTACTGCACCGCACCGCACCGCAGACTTGATAAGCAGAACGGCAGCATGCAGGGCATGCTCAGTGGCAGCAAGACCGACAACCCTGGTGAGAATTCGTATCTGCAGCACTGCACCGCACCACACCGCACCGCGCCGCATTGCATCGCACCGCACCGCACACTTGATGCGCAGAACGGCAGCACGAATGGCATTCTCAGCTTCAACTGTACCGTCAGCTCTCTTCGCCTGCTGTGCTGACACTGCCTTGCATCCACTCCACCCTTCCCCCTGCCCCCTGTCCCCTGTCCCCCTGTCCCCTCTCCCCTGTCCCCTGTCCCCCACCAGCCTTCTACAACTGGAACGCCGTCTATTTCATCTACTGCGATGGCGGCTCCTTCTCAGGCAACCAGGACGAGCCCGTTCGCTTCAATGTCAGTCACCTGCCCCTCTTCCCCTCCACCTCTCCGCCTCTCTGCCTTTCCGCCTGTTCGCCTCTCGCCCGTTTTACATTACCTCTCTCTCCTCTCCACCGTGGTGACCACTCCGCTTCTCGTCATGCTGTTTCTTCGTTCTCATTCCCCCCCTCCCGAATCCACCTCTCCCTTTCTCTCCCCCCCCCCCCCCCCCCCCCCCGCAATGCATTCCCCTGTAATCTCGAGAGTTCTTTAGACTCAATTTCCCCTGTAAATTTGAACTTTATCCCTTCTGTCCCTATCCGTTCCCCCCTTTCCTTCCCCTCCCCCCAGGGCATTCCGCTGTACATGCGCGGAAGGAAAGTGGCGGACGCGCTGGTTAAGCACCTCATGGAGAAGAAGGGGCTTGACCACGCTGAGAAGGTGAGAAGAGGGGAGGTGGTGTTGTGGAGTTCAGCGGGGAGACTGGCACTGCTGCTTTTGGGAAAAGAACCTTGGGTTTGGTACAAAGTAGTGCCAGTGCCTTCGCAGGTTTGGTACAAAGTAGTGCCAGTGATTCTCTTCCACCCTTCATCAACCGCGCAGGTGGTTGTGACCGGGAGTTCGGCGGGAGGCGTGGCGGCGCTGCTGCACTGCGATCGAGTGAGGGACACTCTCACAGCCGCCTCTCCTTCCATGCACGTCCGCTGCCTTGCTGACGCTTCCATGTTCCTTGACGTGTAAGACTCCTCTTCACCCTGCTTTACTCCTCTTCACTCCTCTTCACTCCTCTGCAACTGTCTAGTTACGTTGCAATTTGACTACCATGGGGCTGTCCTGTAAGGGCTCATTGTCTTGTTGACTTAGTTTGTGTTTGCTTTTTTTTTTTTTTACATAGTGTGGGATTGTTTTGTTTCTCATGTCTGTGCATGCGCGTGTGTGTGCGTCTCTCCCTGTTCCCCCCTCTCTGCAAATGAGCAGTCCAGATTCCGACAACACCCATAGGATCGCAGCATTCTTTTCTAAAGTGCAGACCATGCATGTGAGCAAGTCAGGACATGCATGTGAGCACTTGAGGATATGCACGTGACAAGAATGTGAGCAAGTCAGAGACAACAAATGTGGGCAACTCATAACTGAAGAGCACTCAAGTCATAAGGAACAAGCAATCCCACATCAACCCATATCTGCCGCCCCTCTCAAATTTCCCTTTTCCATCCTCCCTGTTATCTCCCCGTTCTCTCTGTCTTCTCTCTACTCCCTGTTCTCCCCGTCCGTCTTTCCAGAATCTCACCATCAGCCTCCCACCAGCGTGTGTCAAGGAGCGAGCGCTAGAGCAGCATCATCAGGTGCGCTGCTGCCTGCCTTTTTTCGTAGGTTGCTTTTTCAGATTCTAAAATTCAACCAGCATGGGAATTCTCAAAAGCATCATGAGGTGTGCTGCTTTTGCCGTCTCCAATCCACCATGCCACACCACCCCATGCCATGCCATCTCCACGCCACCGCTCTTAACCTTAGCCATAACGCGCCCTCTCTCCGCCCTCACTCTCCTCTCCCATCGCCAGTGCTTCATGGCCAACCATATTCTGCAGTACGTCACAACGCCTCTCTTCCTCATCAACAGCAACTACGACAAAGTTGCGGTAAGCACTATGCTCGTTCCACAATAGTAAATAATTGCAAGCAATAATAATAAATAAGATTTCTACTCGTTCTACTCGTTGCAGCAAGCAATATTATTTTGCAATCATAATCAGCCATCCCTCTCTCGCCTCTTGACCGTTTCCGTGCTCGCGCTTGCACTCCCGTTCCTGACATGACCTGCAGATGAGGGCCATTACACAACCAGAGGTGTTGGATTCAGGATTAACGGCCCCACCTGACTGCTTCGACCATCTCAGCACCTGCACTGCCAAGGAGAAAAAAATCTTTGAGGGTGAGTGAGTGAGTGAGTGAGCGAGAGAGCGAGCGAGTGAGTGAGTTAGTGAGTGAGGTTGCGTGAGTGTGTGCATGCGCTTGCACAAGTCTACCCTCCTCTGCCTTACTACTTGCTTGGCGTTACCCTGTCGCCCTTGCTTTACCTTGCCCTACTCCTCTTGCCTTACCTTGCAATACCATTTGTTCCCTACCTCTCTTTCCTCACCCGCTTGCCTTGCCATGCCCCACCTCCCTTCCCCCACCTTTCCCCACCTTGCCTCACCTTGCTTCACCGTTCCCCACTCATGCGTTTCAGATTACCGCAAGGCAGTGGCGAACGCAGTGGCACCTCTCGTGCACTCCACACCTGCCAACGCCGTCTTCCTCTTCTCCTGCTTTCAGCACGGCTCCATTCACTCAGACGTCCCGTGGATGAAGCGCACGGCCAAAGGCATGGTGAGTACCCAGCAGTGCGGTGCATTGTCAGTGGGGATTGTGTGTAACACGGTGTTTACTCCATCCACTCGAACGTCCCGTGCGTGATGCGCATGGGAAACGGAGTGGTGCGCACCCGGTGTTATCTCTGTCAGTTTGCACGTGATAGCATGTGCATGTGTGTGTTTTGGTGCGAGCATGCATGGGTGTGCATATACACGGTTGTTAACCAAATCTGCCTTTCTTCCTTTTATTTCCATCCATCCAACTACAGCCCATGTACGAAGCTGTGAGCCGTTGGATGCGCCCCGGCAACGCCGACAAGATTGATCTCATTGAAGGAGCATATCCGTGCAACTCGTGCATCATGGCAGAGGATTAACGCGCACGTGTCTTTTGATGTGTCTGAAAAGCGACACATCAGTGCTTTCCAGAACCACATTATTCATCTCATTCATCGAGGGAGCATACACCTGCAAATCATGCATTGTTGTGGAGGACTAAAGCGCCCACTTGAAATAGTTCTCCCCTTCATGTGTATTATAGCCCATCTGCTCTCAGCATTGGCTGCGCTGGCTCTGAATAAGCCGCAAATAAGCGAGCGGAGTCTCGATAGTGTTGCTTACTCTTTTGGAAGCACCTGGAGGAGTCCTGCTTGATAATACCGTACCTTATGGCTTGATTCGGAATTGTTTGTTAATGTATTTGTTCGATTATTGCTGTATTGTAATTCCCTGTATAATACCGTCGCTCTCTGGATATACTCCACCGTAGTATGGATATTGTATGGCCTTTGTCAAAGTTGAAACTGTCAAATGATATATATGTGTGATATATATTGGTAGGCTGTAGTGGGGTAGATGTTACAGGGGATAACACTTTAGGGTTGTGTTTCTTGTACCAAACTCTCTCGTCAATCGATTCAACCTTGCCTAGCTATCTCGACATGGTATCAGAGCAGGTTCTTAGGACCTAAGTTTAAGGGCCCACCAGTTACTAAGTTACCTCACCAACGGCCTGCCTACCTGCCTTGCCTGTTTGTCTGCCTAGCCTGCTGCCCGCGCGCGCCTCGGCTGCGCGCGCACGCCTTTTTTTTTAGCGCGCACTGCTGCTGCCAGCCGCGTCGCGCCCCGTCCGTCGCCCGCGCAGCCCGCCCTGAGCCCGCACAGCTCGCGCGCGGCCCGTCCCTGCCTCGCGCAGCCCGCTAAGGCCCCGCGCAGCCCGTCTGCAGCCCGCGCGTCGCATCTGTTGCTCGCGCGCAGCCCCTTTTCGCCCCGCGCGTCGTGTTTGCTGCCTGCGCGGCCCACTCCAGAGCTGCGCGCTGCACCTACCGTCCGCACGCAGCCCGCCTAGGCCCTGCACGTCGCGTTCGCCGCTCGTACAGCGCATTGCTGCCCCGTGCATTGCGTCCGCCTGTACCTGCCGCCAGGGTTTAGGGTTTACCCTGTCTTTTTCTTGCCTGCCTTGCGTCTCTACCGTCTGCCTTGCGCACCTGCCTGCTACAGTTGCCTGCTGCCTGAACCTGCAGCCTTTGCCTGCTGCCTGAGCCTGCTGCCTGAGCCTGCTGCCTGAGCCTGCTACTTTTGCCTGCGCTGCAACCATGGCGACCCTTACTGTTCTCGCCTTTGAGCCTGACGGCCGCCCCATCGAGTTTGACACCTGGCTTAGTGATCTGCGGCTTTACCTTATGACTGACGTCGCAGACGGAGTATCACTACTAGCCTATGTCACTGGCACTGTCCCTACTCCCGCTGAGACTGCTCCTGCCCCTGAACGAGCACAGTGGGAGCTCCGCGACGCAGTCGCGCGCCTTGTTATTCGCAATCACCTACCGATCTCTGAGCGCGCGCATTTCAACCAGCTTAAGACTGCTAAGACGCTGTATGATGCTGTCGTTGCCCGCTATTCCGCCCCGGCCACAGCCACCGTTGGTAGTCTCATCCTGCCTTACCTGTTCCCAGACTTAGCCTCGTTTCACACTGCTGCCGACCTTATCACTCACCTCCGCGCTAGTGACGCCCGCTTTCGAGCCGCTCTTACCGACGAGTTCCTCGCCACGAACACCCCCCCGCTGTACTTCACCCTCTACATCCTCGTCACCCGCCTCCCTGACACTCTTCGCTCTGTCAGGGATCACTTCCTTGCCAAGGATCCTCCAACTATCACTCTGGACGACTTCGAGCAGCAGCTGGTCGCAGCAGAGAAGAACATCCTCGCTGTCGGTGCTGCTCGTGGCACTCCCCGCACTCCCCTCTTTGAGGGGTGCTCCCCCTCCCCTCTTGACCCCTCCTACGCCTCTGCTGCTACTGCTGTCGACTTCCTCGGTGCGGAGAAGGTCGCAGCGGCTTCCGCTCCTGGTGGGAAGCGTGGTGGTGGCAGGGGCGGCAAGGGTGGCAGGGGTGGCGGAGGTGGCGGTGGAGGGAGCGGTGGTGGAGGCGGCGGGGGTGGTGGAGGTGGTGGGGGTGGACGTGGGGGTGGAGGCGGTGGGTGGGGTGGCGGCAGGACCGGGGGCGGTGGAGGCGGCGGCGGCGGCGGCGGTGGTGGGGGAGGAGGCAGCGGCAGTGGCGGTGGAGGTGGGAGTGGGGGTGGATCTGGCCAGAAGGGTGGCCCCACTGGTGGCCAGCAGCAGCAGCAGCAGCAGCAGCAGCAGCAGCAGCAGCAGCAGCAGCAGCAGCAGCCACAGCAGCAGCAGCAGCTTCCTTCCCTCGCCTCCCAGCAGCTCAATGACTGGTATGCTGGGCGTGGGGCGTCTCGGGGTTCTGACCGCTGCCCCTATGTCATTCGTACTGGCCCCCGCAAGGGTCGCCCCTGCAACGGTTTTCACACTGAGTATCGTTGTTTTGCTAGGCTTAGTGACGCCTGGCGTGCCAAGTATCCTGATGCTACTGAGTTCCCCAACTGGGCCGAGCTGCTTAGGCGTGATGTGCCTATCTTTGATCTGGACTATGATGTTATTCTTGCTGCCATGTATGCATTGACTGTTAGTGCTGAGGGTGACTGTTACTTGTGTGTGCCGCCTGATCCTGGTATTGACCCCGGTATAAGGGCTGCAGCCCTAGGTGCTAGTGAGTCTGCTCCCCTTGGTACTGAGTCGACTCAGGCCTTGCACACGTTTACACTTGACTCTGGTGCTTCCCGCTGTTTCTTTCGCGATAGCACCATCGTCACTCCCCTCCCTGCACCTGTCCCTGTCTCACTGGCTGACCCCTCTGGGGGCCCAGTGCTTGCACGAGCCACGACTGTGCTCCCGTGCCCGGCGGTCCCGTCTGGTGAGCTGTCAGGTCTCCACGTTCCCTCGTTCTCTACGAACCTGGTGAGCAACGCCGTCCTCCAGGATCACTGGGTTGACACCTGGACTCCTGGAGGGCAGCGTGTGGCGATCTGCACGTGCTCCAAGACTGGCCACCACCTGGCCACGTTCACTCGTGAGCCGGGGTCTAGTCTGTACACCCTCACCACTGTTTCACGCTACACTCCTTTGTCTCCTCAGCTGTACGCGTCTGCTCAGGTAGCTACCCAGTGTGAGTGCCGCCGCCTGTCGCACGACACGCTTCTGTGGCACCACCGCCTTGGTCACCCCTCCCTTCCTCGCCTTCGTGGCATGCACTCTCGCTCCCTGGTCTCTGGGCTTCCCAGGTCTCTGCCTGCCCTCCCTCCCTCGCCTGCGCCGCCCTGCATTCCCTGCGTCGAGGGGCGGCAGCGCGCCGCTCCTCACTCCTCCTCGTTTCCTCCCACAGAGGCTCCCCTGCAGACGCTCCACCTGGACGTGTGGGGCCCAGCCCGCGTCCAGGGACAGGGCCGTGAGCGGTACTTTTTGCTGGTTGTCGACGACTACACGCGTTACACCACGGTCTTCCCCTTGCGCAGCAAGGGGGACGTCCCTGCTGTTTTGATCCCCTGGATCCGCGCTGTGCGTCTCCAGCTCCGCGAGCGGTTCGAGCGGGACTTCCCTGTCCTGCGTCTGCACTCTGACAGAGGTGGTGAGTTCTCCTCTGACCTCTTGGCAGCCTTCTGTGCGGAGCACGGCATTACCCAGTCGTTCACGCTTCCGGCCTCTCCGCAGCAGAATGGGGTTGCTGAGCGCCGCATTGGCTTAGTCATGGAGGTCGCTCGTACCTCCATGATCCATGCGGCGGCTCCCCATTTTCTGTGGCCGTTCGCGGTCCGGTACGCCGCGCATCAGCTCAACCTCTGGCCCCGTGTCTCCTTGCCGGAGACCTCGCCCACGCTGCTGTGGACGGGGGAGGTTGGCGATGCGTCGCGTTTCCGGGTCTGGGGTGCTCGTGCCTTTGTCCGCGATCTCACCGCGGACAAGCTCTCTGCTCGCGCCATTCCCTGCGTCTTCCTTGGTTTTCCTCCTGATGCGCCTGGCTGGCAGTTTTACGACCCCACCTCGCGCCGTGTCTTTGCGTCTCAGGACGTCACCTTTGACGAGTCTGTTCCCTTCTACCGTCTCTTTCCCTACCGCACTGCCTCTCGCCCCCCCCCGCCGCTCTTTCTCGCTCCAGGTCCTCCCCAGGTAGACCCCCTCCCCGCGCCAGGTCCTGCTCCTTCAGGTGTTTCTCAGGTAGACCCTCCGGTACCTGCGCCTGTTGAGGTCACTGGTGACTCAGGTCCTGCTGGAGGTGGTCCTGCTCGGGGTGCTGTCTCTGGGGGTGCTGAGCCTGGGGGTGCGGAGCCTGAGCGAGAGGCGCCTAGAGGTGCTGAGCCTGGGGGTGCGGAGTCTGGGGGTGCTGTGCCTGCGCGTGAGGAGCCTGGAGGTGCTGAGCTTGGGGGTGTCGAGTCTGAGGGTGCGGAGCCTGCGCGAGAGGAGCCTGGAGGTGCTGAGCTTGGGGGTGCCGAGTCTGCGGGTACTGAGCCTACGCGTGAGGAGCCTGGAGGTGCTGGCGCTGGAGGTTCTGGAGCAGTTGGGGGTGCTGGCGCTGAGGGTTCTGAGTCTGCTGTTGCGCGGTCTCCTTGGAGTAGCCGCCTTCGTCCACGTGTGCCTCTCACCTCACAGCAGCTGCAGGACCAGTACGGTCGCCGTCAGGGTCGCGCTGCTGGAGCCCGGGGCTCTACTGCTGGAGTCGCTGGTTCCGGAGGTGCTCGTCCTGGGGGTACTGGAGCTGCTGGGGCTTGGGGTGCTGGTTCTGGGGGTGCTGCTGCTGGAGACACAGAGGTTGGAGACCCTGGGACTGGAGGTGTCGGTTCTGGGACTGGAGCTGCTGGAGGTGCTGGAGCTGCTGGAGGTACTGGAGCTGCTGGAGCTGCCGGTACTGGCGCAGCTGCGCCGACACGACTGTTCTTCGCTCCGCCGTCTCCGTCGTCTCTGCCGCCGTCTGACTCTGCTCTTCGTCAGGTTCTTACTCTCCCGTCGTCTACTGGTCTTCCGTTACAGCCTGGCTCACCGCTGCCTGCTCCTTCTCCTTACACTGAGCAGACTGGTAGTCCTGCTGAGCGTCGTGAGCCTGCGTCGCGTCCTGTCTCGCCTGCTCGTCTTGGTCGTACCGGTCGTCGTGTTCCTCGTTCGCGTCAGCCGGCTGTCCCCAGCGCACACCTCGTAGTCCGTCGTCCTTCCTCTGCTCTGCAGCCTGTTCCTCTGCCGTCTCCTCCTGCGTCCTCTCTACCTGACGTTCCAGACCCTGAGTCTGACCGGTTTCGTGCTGAGCACCCTACTGTCACGCGTCTGCTAGCCACTGTTGTCACTGACCCGTCGTTTGAGTCTACTGCTGCATCTGCTCTTGTCGCTGAGCTTGTTGACTTTGCTGCTGCCTGTCGTCTAGACTTCGCTGCCAGTCTTGTTGCTGAGTCTGAGTCTGTCTGTCCTCCGTCCGTCGGGGGTGAGTGTGCTCTTAGCACGGACGTCCTTGAGGACAGGCACGAGGACCTTGAGTGTCTTGCGACTGCTGCGCCTCATCTCGTGGCCATGCTGCTTGCCCCTGAGGGAGACCCGGATGCACCAGACATCCCGACCCCGCGCTCTTACGCTGAGGCGATGGCGGGTGAGTACTCCTCTCAGTGGCAGACAGCCATGGACGCAGAGATGGCATCCTGGAAGTCCACAGGCACTTACGTCGATGAGGTTCCCCCTCCTGGGGCGAACATCGTCGATGGCATGTGGATTTTCAGGGTGAAGCGGCCGCCGGGTTCTCCGCCTGTCTTCAAGGCTCGTTACGTTGCTCGAGGCTTCAGTCAGCGAGAGGGAGTTGACTTCTTCCAGACCTTCTCCCCTACCCCGAAGATTTCTACTCTTCGGGTGCTGCTGCACGTTGCCGCTCACCGTGACTACGAGCTTCACTCTCTTGACTTCAGCACAGCTTTCTTACAGGGCAGCCTGCACGAGGAGATCTGGCTGCGCCGCCCACCTGGCTTCACTGGGTCGTTCCCTCCTGGTACCCAGTGGAGCCTCCGGCGGCCAGTCTACGGTCTCCGCCAGGCGCCACGTGAGTGGCACGACACACTGAGGACGACACTGGCGGCTCTTGGGTTCGCTCCTTCGACAGCTGACCCGTCGCTGTTCCTGCGCACCGACACTTCGCTGCCACCGTTCTACATCCTCGTGTACGTAGACGACTTAGTCTTTGCCACTGCTGACACTGAGGCTCTCGCCTTGGTGAAGTCGGAGCTGCAGAAGAGACACACGTGCACAGACCTGGGTGAGCTGCGCAGTTACCTTGGCTTGCAGATCACTCGGGACAGAGCACGCCGCACCATCACACGGACTCAGTCACACATGGTGCAGCAGGTCCTTCAGCGCTTCGGCTTCACCTGGTCCTCGCCACAGCACACTCCTCTGGCTACAGGTCACTCGCTCTCAGCTCCACTTTCGGACGAGTCCGTAGAGCCGAGTGGTCCTTACCCAGAGCTAGTGGGCTGCCTCATGTACCTGATGACCTGCACTCGGCCTGACCTTGCGTACCCTCTTGGCCTTCTCGCTCGCTACGTGGCTCCTGGTAGGCACCGACCAGAGCACATGGCTGCTGCTAAGAGGGTACTGCGCTACTTGTGCAGTACATCGGGCATGGGGCTCGTGCTTGGAGGACGGAGTGAGGTGGTCCTCACTGGGCACTCAGACGCGTCTTGGGTTGACGACCAGGCTACACAGCGGTCGTCACAGGGTTACACCTTCAGCCTTGGCTCTGGCTCTGTTTCTTGGCGGTCTACACGCTCGTCTTCTGTTCTCAGCTCCAGTTGTGAGGCTGAGATCTACGCCACCGCCATGGCTGCACAGGAGCTACGCTGGCTCACCTACCTGCTGACTGACTTGGGTGAGCGGCCTCGTTCTCCTCCAGTGCTGTACGTTGACAACAAGGCGGCCATTGCCTTGTGTGAGGAGCACAGACTGGAGTACAGAACGAAGCACATTGCTCTGCGTTACTTCCTGGCTCGAGAGTTGCAGCAGCGAGGCCAGCTTCGTCTTCGTCACGTGGCCACTCGGGCCAACACTGCTGATATATTCACCAAGGCACTTCCGTCTGGTGATCATCAGCGCTTTTGTACTCTGTTGGGCCTTGTGCCTACGTTTCCACACTTGCTGTAGTCTCTGCTTGTACTGTGATATATATATATATATATATATATACCTGCATGCTGGCTCTTGCTAGGTAGCCATCACTGTACTGTTATTGCTGCATATATATCTCTGCATGTGAACTGGCCTTGTGGCCATTTGCTTGTTCTCAGAATGTGTGGTGACGTTGTGATCCACCCTGAGCTTGTTTTGCTTCTCTTGACTGGTCTTGTGACCCGTTGCTCTCCCCCACTTTGCCTATGGGGGTGTGTCAAATGATATATATGTGTGATATATATTGGTAGGCTGTAGTGGGGTAGATGTTACAGGGGATAACACTTTAGGGTTGTGTTTCTTGTACCAAACTCTCTCGTCAATCGATTCAACCTTGCCTAGCTGTCTCGACAGAAACTAGTTAGACAATGGCTAAGCTAAAGACAGTTGTGTTGTTCTCCATCATGTGCTTCATCATAATGTCAACGTCAATATATTTTACAGGGTTTAGGCAATAGTACGTGTAAATGTCAACCCAGAACACGAGTGTGGCAATGCAATAGTCAGCGGGATATGTACGATACCGGGATTGACGGTGTCTGCATCTCATAGTGGTGTTTCGCCTCCCCGAATGATAGCCAGTTCATGGAAATTTTCCAGTCCATTTTACACGCTTTGGTTTGGAGACATCGATGGTCAAATGTCACGAGAAGTTCACATGAAAGAATCTGCATGCAGGCAGATCAACCATGGATGCACGCTCGTTCATGCAAGCGGCACTTGATCTGTTTCCCATCACGGGATCGCGACTCGTAAGTGGCTTAATCTCGACCACCCTAGAACGAGATTCACACCATACCATAAAGCCTGTATTGGTGAGCCTCCTTAGGTTGCATCTCTTGAGAGTTCTTACGATTTCGTTTCTCTGGAGTTTTTTGCAACCACCACCATGGACTCACGCGCTTTGTACACTTTTCCGGCTTCAAAGCTGACCAGACTGAACAATTTCTCACTCTCAACACTCACGCTGCTGTCGACTTTAGAACACGGTACGCTGAGGAGTAAGCTTGCTAAACCTCAATGCAGAGGAAACGCCATAGAACGACATGTTACCAGCAACGGTGATCTTCAGAGCACGTTCAAGGAACTGAGCTCTACGTGGAGTTCCCCGGCAACGAATCGAGCTCCTGTTGGTGTGTTTTGGGATTACGAGAATCTTCCTGTCCCGAAGTGTGCGTCGACCTCGGAAATTGTTTGCGAGCTCCAGAAATTCGCTGACGGTCTAGGAGACGTGCAGCTGATCAGAGCGTACGGACAAGACACATCCTTCCAGGAACAGAAGGAAATTCGCCGCTCCAATGTTGAGCTCGTGGTAGTTCCGCCTGGAAGAAACATGGCAGACAACGCCATAAAGAAAGACGCTGAAAGATTCTTGCTCAGGGAGATCGCATGCCTTTTGAACTCTGGGCGGAAAAGCACTTTGAAGGCCAAGTGAGTGTTGTAGCTTTAGCTACGGATTTCCTTTCTTTTCAGCCACTCCACTGATTTTTTTTCTTATTTAAGCCTGTACGTGAGTATCTCAACCCTGGCTACCCATGCAGTTTCGAGCTTCCTTTGGTGGTCATACTTTCTCGAGATCGGGATTTCTTCCCTTTTATCAC